CTGTTGGTGCCCTCTTTGGTATGTTTTAAGAACTAAGAAAGTTTCCTATCATTGGCTTTTATTCAAAGAACATTGAAGAACAAATTTAAAAAGAACGAGTGAATTTTATTTTGTTCGCAAGAGCCAATGAGTCGAATCTAAATTTTTGTTTCAAAATCAATCAAATGTGTGTCCATATAAAAAAGTATTTGAAACAAATGCAAATCCAAGCCTGCGCTCACAAAATTAATTCATTTAAATTTTCTATATAAACAAATAAAAGTCGAAAAAATAGCGCTGTTAAAAAAGCATCATGGCAATCTACGAAATTAAACCTCCAACGAAGCCCAAGTTGTTCATAAGACGGATGGCGTGTGAACAGTCGCCGTGTTTTTGTCGCAATGGGTTATCAATCAGCTTCGAATTTGGCCAATCGTTTATGAACTGTGCCAATTGTTTGCATGAAAATTGATTGTTCGAAATAGAAATTAGTTTAAGGTCCATGAATTTTGACTGGGCGAATTGGTCGACGTCTGTTAGTTCATTTCCATTTAAACGAAGTTCCATTAGCCACGATCGTACCGCAGTGAGATTTAAATCCACACTTTTCAAGTTATTGTGAGAAAGATCTATTCGCCAAAGTCGTTCAAAAGCGAAGCTGATGTGAGATAAATGGGTTCGGCTCAAATTCATATCCAAACGCGTGACATTCTCGAATGTGATATTCTCCAATCGTTGCAGAGGATTTCCAGACAAGTCAATGAAATCAATGTTTGGTCCGAATTGCTTTAACAAAGCAGAAACGTTTGCGATGTTACAGTAGGCAGCAGAGAATTGTTGCATCTCTTTCAAAACAGGTGGAAGTGATGTAAAGTTAGCCTTCTCCAAATTGTTGTAAGAAATGTCTAGTTTCTCCAAACGATAGAACGAATCAAACGGTCTGAGATCGTTGAGTGCGAGTCTTGTGTTGCTCAAATTCAGCGTACGCAAAAATTTATATTTCTCAAAAGTGCTTGCATTAATTTGACCCACATAATTTTTAGACAAATTCAATTCATAAATAAATGACCTGGGATTGTGTTGAAGATTTCCAATACGTTTTAAATTATTCCGTGAAATGTCCAGTGATTCCAAATTTCGCAATGTTTTGATAGAATTAAAATCAAAAGATGTCAACAGCCCATCATTCAAGGTAAGCTTAGTCAAATTTTCGAATCGTTCGACTGAACTGACATTCAATTTTTCAGTAAAGCGTCCGGATAATGTCAACTGCTTCAGTGATGGTGTCAAACAACGAAGCAATTCACTGATATTTTCGATGTGATTGTCGGTGAATTTGAAACTTTCTATCGCCTCAAAGCTTCCCTCATGGCAATGAAATTTCAGCTTTCCATCCGCCGTTGAAAGAATCCCTTCAATTTGTCTCTTTGTAATAATTCGAATCGATTTGCCAAGATTTTCATCCATTTCAAACGACGTGATGTAATTCCACGAGCAAACCACTGTAACTCCACGTTTTATCAGCTGTAAAAATCGTCCATCAAATTCTCTATATCGATTGTCTTCCAATCGAAGTGTCTTCAAATGTTTTGCTTTCGCAAATATATCCGGATGATCGATTTTTTCAAGAAAATTGTGAGCAAGGTCAAGGTACAACAAGCTAGGAACATCCGTTAGTTCATAGTAGTTTATCAACGATAAATTATTATAGGACAGATTCACTTGCTTCAGAGCGTCAGGCAAACCCGAAACGTGACTAAATTCGTTGTATGATAAATCGATTTCATTTAATCGTGGCATTGGGTTTTGAGTAAAAAATTCTCTCGGATTTTCCGTTAAGCGATTGTGGGATAGGTCCAATTTGACCAGTTGACCAAGAGTTTCGTTGAATGGATTCAATGACTGAAGATCGGAATAGGACAAGTCCAATGAATGGATATTTCGAAAATCATGGATGAGCACTGAAATTGTATCCTGATCACAGCCACCGATCTTCAGTTGCGTCACTTTTGATTTATCACAAGAGCTTATCGAGTATAAAGCTGATTTTGTACAATTCACAGGCCACAATTCTTGGTAATTTTCACAGTAAAACTCAACGATTTTTTGGTCGTTAGTAAGATAACCACATTTTAATTCGATTGAATCACAAACTTTGATGCAAATCAATACGAAAATGAACAAGAACTTCATTTTACAAATAATCTTCGCTTGAAGAACGTAAAAGTCAGTAGTAAATTGCTTTTGCATGGTGTCAAGTTGATTTCGTTTCACAAACTGATCGTTTCCGGATACACGAGTGATTTTGTGCAGGCAATAAGTTTTGAGAGACTTTTTGATAATTTTAGAGGCCAAACGGGAGTTTGCAAATGTGCTGATTTCTAGCTTTCATCCGGTTGAAAACATGATATAGAATTTATTTGGCAGAGAAGAAAGAGCAGCGACGTTAACATTGGCACTGCGTAGAATAATTTTTGATAAGCGAAAGAAGGGGAACTCGATATAGTTGATAGAATATGTGTTTCAACAATAGAACCGACGCAATAAAAACACACTTATTCCAAATAAAAACTACGAATTTTGGAGAATGAAATAATTTCATTACATTTGTGCTAATATAAACTGACAAAAAAAATGTGTGAAACGTTTATTCTGTTATTTGAAACTCGGAAGTTCCGATTTTTGGACATATTCTTAAAAATAACCTACTCAAAAGTCAAATGTTTTTTTGTCGGCCACATCAAAAATGCTCACAATAAATGTGTACATTGGAATGTTAAAATATTTTGCCAATAATTACACACGTTGGTTTATGTGCGCTTTACTCGTATTAACGAATGCGTGTGCGACTTCTATACAAAGTGCGAACGTCTATTTTCCCTCAATCACAAAAACAATTTCAAATCCAGATCGCGCCCTTGAGTACTGATAGTGAAAAGTCATAAGAAATTATCAAATAAACTCAAGAAAAGGACGCTTTAACGACACAACAAAAAAATCCCTGAAGATGAGACGATAAAATCATAAACTGGCCGTTTTTACATCCGTTCAAAAAAGTACAACTGTATCAATTTGAAATTGATATCGATCAGATGTGAAAAATAAATATAACAATTTTGAGTAACCAAATTCAAATCCAGCTAAATATGTTGCATTCCTGGAATCGGTGGTGATAGTTATGATGTCGACAAATAAATGTTGTTACTCAAAATAGTTCTGCATATCAATAATATGAACATGGCACATACAGTATCAGCAGCACATTGGTGAATGCTGCTGGGACTTACCATGTTATGACCAGGGCAACCGAAAATATTTACAAAAAAAGTCAAAATATTTATTTATTTATGCACGAAAAAACATCGAAATATTTACGATAAACTGAAAATAAGCTGAAAATATTTACGATAAAAATAAGTGGAAAAAACCTTATATTTTGAATATTTCTTGACATTTTCGACAGTTAAGTATTATTCGAAGTTGTTACAGAAAATGATAACGTGTTTAGCTAAATTTTCGAAAAGGAATGAACGTCGATTGTCACGCAAAACATTCTTGTTCATGGAAAATGAACGTTCGACATCACTTGACGTAATTGGAGCAAATTTGAACGCGTCTATTTCAGTCTCCAAATGAGAACGAAATTCAAAGTGTCAAATCGAGTCGTTTGAAGCAATTAGTTATTAGCGCGCGAGAACGTTATTTACATATTATTTGATGACTACACAATGTGTAGTACACATTTGCAAATGCAAGCGATCATTCGATCAGCTGATAAATAAAATTTGTAAACGTCTACACAGTAATGGATACACTGAATACTGTCGAAATAGCACATATTGCAGAATTGCAACTTTTGGTTTTGATCAACTATAAGTGAGACAATTCGAAATAATTCCATTATCTTCGATTTGCAAAGTCATGTAGAGACGTGTAAAGTGCATTTGCAATGTTTTGTCTTGAACTCATGTTCTATTGCAAAATTTATGTTACCTTCATCTAAAATATTTATCATTGCTTGAAAAATACTCAAAAATATTTCTGAAAAGACGTCAAAAACCTTAAAATATTTACGTAAAACTCAAAAATTGGGAAATATATTTATATTTATTTTCAAAAATGGCCAGAATATTTTTTATTTAATAAATAAAATAATAAATAATTCAAGAAAGGAAAGATTTGAGTTGTGATGATTTGTTTTTACATTCAAAACTTTGAAAGAGCACAAACTGTAGCAACGACTTGATTTCAACTCTTAGAGTGATCATTTCAGGAAGCAGAAAGCGATTATATGACCCGAATAATTCCACAATTCTTTGGACAAATTTAAACGCAAAATTTAAAGGAAATAAAATAGCTAGTCACCAACCGGGCTGACTACATACATGACAACACATGTGCATTTTTCAATGCCGTTTATATAGTTTATTTGTTTTACGACTGCCTAGTCAATGCTTATCAAACAAGAAGGAAACAACACAAGAAAGATTGGCAGTGCGAGAAAAACTCAAAATTTGGTGATCTTTTGTTATCACTCAACAGCACAAATACGCTCAAAAAGGTGAAAATTCGGTTGTGAGTTCAATCTTGAGTTCGTTTTTGCATATATCCAAAGTGTGCATCTAAGAAAGCATTGTCTTAAGGCAGAAAAGGCAATTCATTTTAATTTTCAAATGAAGTTATTACAAGTTATTATTTTATAATCGTATACAACACCTATGTTCCCTCAGACATGACACCACGAGCACATTTTACAGATAATTATCGATTTAGCCAGAGATTATTACGGATCGTCGGATTTTCGTCAACAGGTAATTAAAAGTCAAAATTGCATCTAATAGCTGTTGTGCACAAGGCTGACACTTTTCAGTTTTGAGAAAATGGTTTGAATCTGGCATAAACTTCGACTTCTTGGAAGCTCAGCAATGGGAGGAATATTGCCATTGCTTCAAAGGAGCTATCCTCTTTTAAAAGAATGAAATCGTCAATGTTGAATTCAGTTTCGATTCAGTTGTTAAAGTTACCGGACAGCGTCAACAGAGACAAGTAGTCGTGATTGTTAACCATCAAAAAAGTAGTTTGAGCACTGTTAGGCAATTTCTGAAGTGATATTTATATGGTAAAAAAAGTAGAATAAAAAAATCGATTAGCAAATCATAGAAAAAATGGATTCCGTTGATAATGCAAACGAAGGAAAAACAACGATGAAGCTCACCGATGTCAATATCGACTGTTTACAAAGTATTCTCATCTACTTGAATCTGCGTGATTTGTTGAACTTATCTGACACAAATAAATACGTAAAAAGTGCTGCGGATCTAGTGTTTTTACGAATTTTCGGGAAAAAAACGCTTTTTCTCCGTGTAATGTTCCCTCATTCAGATGAAATGATTGAAGTAAGCCAACAAAAGATTGAAATCAATGACTTGAAAACTTCGCTACAGTTAATGCGATGCTTTGGCGCTTTAATTTCACAATTGGAGTATGACTTTAGCATTGAATCCGTTCCAAGGCATCGAAATGAATTAGATCGTTACATAAATGATTATTGTGCGGAATCATTGATAGAAATGGAATTTTTCACCATTTCTGAAGAGGTGTTTGAAAATATAGAGAAACCGTTTTTAAATGCGAAATCAGTGCGGTTTAATTATTGCACTTTGGGTGAGTTTTTTTTTTTACTTTAGTTTTTTTCTCCGTTTTTTTTCAACTTCTAAGATTTTTCTTGGGTTTTGAAGATCTAAATAAATCCATACTTAGCCAATTATCAAAATTTGAACAATTTTTTTCTTGTTTTCAGGGAAAAAATTGAGCGATTTCAATAAATGGTTTCCGAAAATGAGTCATCTGCGGTTGTATCGTAATCTTTTAGTTGATCCGAAGTGCATAGAAGCGCATTTTCCGTATTTGGAACAACTTGAAATATGCAACAAGGAGCAACAGTTCGACGTCATGCATTTTGAAGAGCGAAACGTTGAAGAAGCAGTGCGTTTGAATCCACAACTGCAAACCATAAAGATTGGATTCGGATTTTATTCCGGAATTTTCACAAAGAATCAACGAATATCTGCAGATTTCTTGAACATTGATGATATCAAATGTTATTTTTGGAATGAATAATATTTTTTATTAAAATTAAACTTAAACGATTGATTGATTTTGGTTTTCAATTTAACATCGACTTCATTCCTTACCGTTCTTCATCATCAAGAAAATCCATCCTTTTTATTAAGATACAAAACGAATTTCCGAAAAAAATTAATCCATTTTATATGCTAAGTGCGAATTAGTAAATATTATCTTTTTAATTTTAGTGTTTTTTATTGAAAAACTCAATCTCGATTCAAAGACCAAAGACTTGGTTGTTTTCATTGATTTTAATTTTGGCAACTCAACTTCAACCAATTCTACTTCATCCCATGTTTCATTTTGCTAAATCATAATCTTTCTTCTGATGCCGAGCGAGTCTGGGCGATTTTACGATCGGTGAGTTTCTTGGAATTGTCCGAAAAATGCAGCTCAATGTCTTCCAGCGTACGATTTTCCGTTTCGGGTAAAATGTTATACATCAAAATCAAACCGCAACCAATAATGATGCAGTTAAACAATGCAACTCCCGGCATCGATAATGACGTTTCTAAATTGTAATACGATTTTGTGCTCACAAAATAAAGCAAATAGTCAAAAGCTGCTGATAAACTGACAGCTGCTCCACGTGCTCTGGAAATGTATAACAATAGGTCACAATTAGCAAATTTATCAATTTTTAATAAAAAAAAAGATGAATATTTAAAAATAAATTCTGACTTTGTGTTTTCTGAAGAAAAAAACATTGAATAAAAAAAAGAAAATGAAAAGAATAGAATAAACAGGCTCACTTTGACGGGTAAACTTCAGAAACAAATTGCCATGGCATTGAGTTGACACCGCAGCCGGCGCAGAAACCCCATACGATGAGACAAACAAACGGAATGAATGCGAGCTGCTTATTTTCGGGTGAAAATAATTTCGATAGATCAAATGAATTGTAATCGTTCGGCAGAATAATAAAACCATAAATAGAAATGATTCCGGTGCACAAGAACGCTACCAGCAACACAAATATGTACAGCTTCCGTTTGCCGGTAAATTTGATCAGAAATAAGACGAGAATGTTTGCTGCAGTGTTGACAAAACTTTGAATAGCTGCCGCACGATCAGGTGAAATCGGGCTATCGTATGCAACAAATATCCGCACAATGAAAGGCGTCATTCCTGAAAGCAACAAAGGATCATTTAACCATGAAGATCGGATATGAATGGATTTATTTGGCTCTTCAAAATCGACAAAAATCCCATTTTAAAAAGTCTGCCTTCCAAACTCACCAGTCATGCCCGAAAATTCGGCAATGATAAACATTGAAAACACGATAAACAGTGGTTTGAGCACTTGTTTTCGTTTCAATTCTTTCAGTTTCTCAACGATTGTCGGCAATGGATGCGTACAATTCAGATCTCGCTTGATACAATCATTACACGATCTCGATCGTTTGCTGTAATTTTGAAGAGCTTCGAATTCTTCGGCAACTTCTTGCGCTTTCTGCGTTTCAACCCAACCTCGAAGCCAACATAAAGCTGAAAAGGCGTCCGAAATTCGATTCTTTGATAGAAGCCATAATGGGGATTCTGGAACCTGACAAAAAAAAAAACAGAATTTCATGAGAAAACAAAATTTGTAATAAAATGTAAATTTTTCGTTAATTTTGTTTCAAATTTGTTATAATTTTGGCATATTTATCCCTCCCTTGGCTTCATACGCCCTTATTAGGAAGGTGTTAAATATGCACTATTTATACAATTGAAAGCGAAAAAAAACTTACGAAAATAAGGGCGATGGTCGTGAGAATCGGCAAACACAAACTGACTAACGCAACTGTTCGCCAGGACATCAATGTGTTTAGAACAAAGACCAGCAGCATTCCAATGGTTACGCTCACGTTAACGTACGCTATTAATACGCCACGGTATGCTGGCTCGCTGAATTGAAACAAACACACGTAAACAACAAACGATAAAGGTTAATGCAGAGAGTAAAGAATCGAAAGAGTTGAATGAATGGAGCGCATCGCACGTGTGGCTTGAAAGGCTCTCGGAAATTTGTGCCGAGAACGTCACAATTGACATCTCAATGCTTTTAGGTCATTAGAACGTCAATGCTGCTAATGACATTGACGTTTTAGGCAAAAGCAACATAGGTGATTTCCGAGAGCCTTTAGCTGTTTGTCGTTCACACGTGGAAACAAATATCTCTCTTCAAGTTATATCAAATCGAACAAAGCATAATTTAAATCTCACCAAATCTCACCAACGTATCGAACAACAGGTGAAACCATTAAACCCAGCCCAAGTCCAATTAGAATGGCAGCCACGAATATTTGAGAAACGCTACTTGCTTGCTGCATTATGAACCAGCCAATTGCTAGCACCAAATTTACAATCATCATTGTTCTTTTTGGTCCGAGAGGGTCTATGAAAAAGTCAAGTTTTTTTTTCAATTTTTCAAGAATTCTTCCAGATAAAATTTTACCGAACCTGCAAGAAACGTTGACAAAATCGATCCGATTGGCGCACATATAAATCCAACGCTACCTAAATGAAACCACAGACAAAAAACACATATAAATGAGATTATTTATTATGCACTTATGACGTTATTTGATTCAATTAAAAAAAAAAAGAGTTGTCTTTACCTAACCAAGACGCTTGTGATGGAGTGAGTGAAAGTGATTCATTTAGATTGTGTTTGTTTGGGATTCCCGTCAGTGCGGGAATTATGATACTCGCAAATACCATACAAAACCCGCAACCGATCAGTAGAACACTTTCAATGGTTGTCGCCAGAAACTACGCACACACAGAGAGAAATATTATGATGTCATTGAACACTGAACTTAATAAAATGTTAACGTTAAATTTGAAAGTGGAAAGTCTGAACTGGCGACACTAAAAACGACGCAATTGATGTTGAAATTAGCCATAATTAACGAATAATATTTCTTTTTTTTCGTCGAGTCATTTCCACTTTTCGTGACAACATTGTACAAACGCCAATTTCGAATCAATTCTGAATGTGTCTACTAGACACTGACTAGAACAAATAGCACTTTCGATCTCAAACCTGTGATAAAAATCGCTGAAATGCGCCGCATTTTTTCGCATTTTGATCTTTTTCCTCGCTGTTGGCTCCTGAATCCATTTTTTAACGATTTTTTTTTTACAGATAATCAGTATCACTTTACTATTTTATTTAAATTGTTTCTAGAATTTTATTTATTCAAAACTGAAATCACTGAAAACACACAGTTTATTTGCAGAAATGAAATTCCAATCGTAATATTCTTACGACATTAGTGTGACTGAAGAGCATCCGCTATCGTGACTGGTTTTGTACGATCGCGGCAGCAGCAGAACGTTAGTTCTCATGTTCTCAATCATATGAACGAATACTAAACAGCACAAGCACGCTACATTCCACCAAAGAACGAATACAAGTTCAGGTAGATCAAGTGATTTTGCACGATTCAACACACACGTAACATTGTTTATAAACAATGACTTATTCAACATGTGTGGGTAAAAAACTTGTTTGTTTAGATGTTTTTTTTCATACTTACACTCAAAACATAGAGCTAGAGGCTAAACAATGTTCTAAACACAGAAATCAAGAATAGCAATGGTAGACCATTACATTACACTTGTCTCTCATCATGAGTGTTCGTCATATTGAGCAGAAAATAGATGAATAAGCAAGGTATTTTCTGCTCATTTGAGTACAAAAGACACATTCTGCTCAGAGATTTTAGTAGATAAATTGAAATCAACGAAAAACCAAGAAAGATCTTCAGCTGTAAGACATTTTTGACTCAAGTTAATAAATAAAATACTCGAATTGTGTTTTGCTAAAATGCTCAGATTTGAGTGCTATGTTAAATGAAACTGTTATATGATAGGTAATGGTTCGAGTTGAGTCGAGTGATGTTATCAAAAGTGGTATACAGACTACTTCTTTATGGAAGTAAAATTTCGCTAGAATAAGATGATTAATTAAAACAAATTAGTAGGAATATTTCGAAAAAAATTCCAAAAATTTGAATCGATCAATCGCAGTTTCTTCAAAAAGTTATCATTGCACTCAATCTAAGAAAGAAATTCGTCAGAAATGTTAAATTTTCAAAGATTTCCATCCATCGAACGAACAATGTTCAAGAATGGCTCATCTTATTGCTCTTACTATTCTCGTTCTAATTGTGGTTACCAAATAAGAATTTAAATCATAAACGCGAAAATTGTCAACAAATTAATAAACTTTCTTTTTGTAAATAATGGTAAATAACACATGCTTCCACTTTTTTTTATGTAAAACACATCGTTTTGTTTAACTTTTTCTTTGTAAACATGTGTTTTAATTTAAAAAACGAGCGAAAAACTCACCTACGATTTGTTTACTACTATGAATAAAAATTAAAACGAAAACATTGCCGCCGAAGCCAGTGGGAAGAGTTACTAATGAAGAATAATGTTTTAGACAAAGTGCTTCGGTCATAACGGAACAGTGCACGTACACACCAAGCCGTCATCATTACAACAATTACCGATTTTCATAATCGAGCGTGTATCAAGCAACCCAACAAAAAAGCAGCGACTTAAACCAACGAAACAATGGGAACTCATTTCGCTTTCATTGAAATTGGTTCAACCAAATTACGAACTTTTCACTGAACATCTCAACACTACGTGCGAAAAACTTTGCAAACTTAGATCTAGTTTCGATTGGTGTACTAGTTTGATTTTTATCTTAATGAGCTCGACAACGGATTCCAATTTGGATGAAAAGCAGACGCACTTTTTTTGTAGGCTTTCCAAAGAAACATTGCGTCGGCTCAATTACAAAGTGTTTGGTAGACGCTCAGACAGGCCACTCATCAGCCATTTCAACGCTAATTGTTAATTTATGCTACAAATATGCGCCCGCTATGTTCAACCGGAATAAATGAGAAAATTGAAATTAGTGTTTGCACGTAACGAGCCCAATCGACGGAAGAGCCTATTTTACCGCCTCATCATGAATTGATTGATTGTCTTCTGAAGAAAAAGAAATGTTGTGTTATGTTGTGTTACGTATATGACGGCTTCAAGAGGCGCTTTTGACACTCATTAAATGGATTTGAATGAAAATCGGCGAGTGAATGAAAGTATCGATAAACACTTAAGAGAATGAAAATATTTATGATCGCAACAATAATTGACTCTTATTATATCGAAATATTGTGCTAATTGTGAGTCATTATTGTTTCACACAGCACGCACGCTATTGATGTCGGTATTATTGATTGTAATTGAATTGGGTATTAAATTTGCATATTAATATAGCAGCTATTGATAGACTCAATTCACTTTTTATGCGCAGTTGGAGTTCATAATTGAAACGATAACGATCGTTCTGAAATGGATTTGTTCCGTTTGGACACTTCACTTTGCAGTTGTGAGGAGTTTTAAATTTGAAATTGAAACTGATTTTGAAATTTGAAGTTGGATTTTTATTTTTACTCATTCAATTCCAAAATCATTCACAGAAATATCGACACATGATTTTATGTTTGAATTGAGTTGATAACATCAAAACTAGAGTTTCTGATTAAATTTCTTTCGACTTTGGAGCTTTGAACTTAATATCGGAATGAATTATGAACGATTCACACTTAATTGAAATTATTCTTTGCTTATTACATTTGATGACTATGAAATAAAGCTAATACGGGATTTCAAAACGGATTGGATAATGAAGAGAATGGGAAATGGATTTAGAAATATCTTTCAAACTTTGTGCATCAAGTCGAATTGATTTTCTTTTTTAAAAAAATCGAGTAAATTTAATTTGAAAAATGTATTAGAAACAGAAATAATCTCTTTAATCGAACATTTGGCTCATGTCATTTGTGTGATATCAAAGAACAAGCATACTTTGAAGTTGAAGCTCAATCAAAGTTAATGCCAACTGAAGAGCCCTCCAAAATGAAGTCAATTCGAGATAGTAGTTACCATTTGAATAAAGTCAGTTTTGCTTTCCCTCTTTATTTTGGACTTTTTCATTTTTCCTTTCATATACACTAAACGGACTTATTTCTTAAACTGAGTTGTTGAAAATAATTTCATTCCATCGCGATGTTTTGTTTTCTAAAATCTATTTTGAAAATGTTCCACATCTCATCTTAACTGAACAGACATTGTTGAGCTGAAATTGGAATACATATCTATTACACGTAATCATTTTTAGTAATGAAAGAAATAAAAAGCCGCTCTCCACTCACAGAAGCTCCATCGGCTCTTTGTTTCATTTCTGTTTAAAATACTCGTAATTTGAAGAATGAATGAAGAAACTCAAAAAAGATTTGTTGAATGAAAAATGGGATGATGAGGTTCAAAAACTCTCACTACGCGTATGAATATCTACTTGCGCTGGTGTGAGAAAGTAATGGAATTTGAAGTTGTGTGAACGATGGAAGATTTTTGGACTAAAAAATGGACTTTTTTCTATTTAAATGTTTTTTTGTTTTTTACATTCAAAACTAATTCATTTTCTTTCTTTTACCCTAAATCATAAAAGAAATTTCCATTGGATTAAATTACGATCTTAATGACTTACACCACCTGATTGTGGCTAATTACAAATGTAAATTTAATTGTTGAAGAGAGATTGACGAAAACACTTGTTGAAACATCAATCAACAATGAATCCATTGAATGATTTTAATGAATCATTTCAGGGAAAGAGGAAGTGAAGTTCTTGGGGGGAAGTTCTTTCAACGACGCGGTTCTTTTGAAGAATAGAAGGTAGTTCAGCCAAAGAAAGTGATCAATTTTATATTTAGAAGAATATTCATATTCAATTCCTGATCTTGAACTGAGTCAATTGAATGCCTTTCCCAGTAAATGTCACCTTTTACTGCGATTTCATGCATCTTTTTCCGCATTCCTCACAATGTAAATATTTCACAAATAAATTACCGTTAAACATTCTGGTAATGGTCATAAGCTGACTTTCAAATCGTGTCTGTTTCCCTTTCAATGCATTAAATCATCGAAATGTTCCGAAAAAAACAACAAAAACGAAACCGTTCCGTTCTTCTTTGTTTAAAGTTTAGTCAATCAGATACAATGGGTCAATCTGTTCCGCTAATTTTGTTTGAGTGCTCTAAAAAAATCAAATTAAAATGTAAATGAGTTTTTAAAAGTTGGTTTCTAAACGACACCGATAACATAAATGAGAGGAAGTTCGTGCAAAGGCGACCGTTTGCGACTGATGGAAAATGTGTATTAAAGTGGTTACAGTAGCTCTTGGCGAGAAAAAAGCCAGCGTGTTTAATTAAAATGACCAAAAATTGGTTCAAAAACCAAGAAGCCGAGTGACACACAGATTGAAGAGTGTGATTTGGTGTGCAGACGCGTTGAAATCACGCGCGCGCGCGCTCGACAAAGGAAAACCCACAATAACATGATAAATCGTTGAATTGGTCGTGTTTGTGTTTAAAGAGCCGCGAAAAGAGTGGTTTGTTGCACAGAATGAATTACATAAAAAAAATCGGAGCCCAACGAACGAAAAACAAAAAGTAAAAATTAATTACCTAACGTTGGGCTAGAGAGAGAATTGTTGAAGCGATTGAGATTATTTGAATGGTAAGTAACACGTTTGTGGCAGTGCTGTGTGAAACGTAGCGTGAACGAAAAGACTAGACGAATAATTTGTGTGCAAGCAAATGCTTTTCTTTTCGTCGGTTTTTTTCCGCAACGACGTGGGCCATTTTTACCTAGCGTTAAACTACAGAGACAAGAAATTTGTTGGTCAGTTGTAATTTTGTGTTGACGACTTTTTCGAACAATTGGAGCAACACTTTTTCGCGATGCATTGAATTGTTATCGCAAATGTGAACCTAATTTCTATTCATTGTGACACTAATGCCGAAGTAAAACAGTCAAAATAAGACTCTTAATGTTGATTAACAATCTATGAAAATGTTATTCGAAGCAAATTAAGTATTTTTTCCACTTCAATCTCGCTAACTTATCACAATGTCTCTGGTGGAAGTGACTTATTAGGGTTTACACGCTTCCAATATATTCAATTTTCACTCGGCCTCTCTTTTGCGCTCTTTCTTCGTGTGTTCCGTATTTTGATTCTTTATTCGAATGCATTTTGCTATTCGAATCTCCAGTGGAGCGTTGCTGAGTTTGTGAGTCGGTGTTTTTACCATTGTTTTGAGACCCGAAGCACACATTTAATTTATGTTTTTGTTCTGTTATTTTAATCAGATGCTTTCAATCGATCAACCAAAGCAATCTCACCGTCTGAATGCTTATGTAATGCGGTTGCATCGAAAGCTTCGCATTGAAAATGGTTGGGTTTTCTGTGAATGAAGCGACCAAAATTCGACGAATCACAGTACTTGATGCAAGGGGCCTGCATAGGTTCACTGCAACGGAAAATTAGAGAATTTGAGGCAGATATCGATGAACTTTGAGGCGAAAACAAATGAATTGTGTTGTTTAAGTCGAATTTTTGTTCAAATTAGAGGAGAAATTCCGTTTTTCATGAATTTTCGAAATTTTGAATGAAATTGAATTCACGAGAATGGCGTCATTGAATGAGTTTTAGCATAATTGAAAGAAAAAAGTGGAAAAAATCAAAGAAACTTGAACTTTTGAAGCCAAATCTTAGGAAAATTGGACGAAATTCGATTTTTCCCAAGAAAAACCCAAATAATTTCGAAGATTTTGAATTAAAAAAAACATTTGAAACGCTTCTTTTAACCAAAACATAACCAAAAGTCAAAAATCAAAATACAAATAGAAATTGTGTAATCAAACTGGAAGTCATTCCGCAAAGTTTAACAATCAAACCCGCACTCAACCTACAGCTTCCCGAAAATCATTCTGAAAAAATTCACTCGAATGCTGAGAAATGGCTGAAAGTGAATTTTTGTCATGCAATCGATTGCATCATCTTCGATCGACATCAGTTGTTTCTTCGTTTCGAACTTTCGTCAAAAAAAAACCGCGATCTTCTTCTCTTGATTCTTCTTTCTCCCTTTCATCGTCTCTTTGTTTTGAAAACCTCTTCCATTGGACGGGTGTCTCACTGTCTCAATGAGCTACTGACTCATTTCAAGCCATCGACCGATTTTTCACCCAGTACACAAAAAAGACCGTTCATCTTGATCAACATCTTGGTGTTCGCTAACTGTGTGTGATGCATTTAATTCCCATTAATGTTTTAATTGTACGTTTTCTTCTTGTTTTTTGTGTTCATTCGTTCGTTCGTTCGTTCGGTTGTGTGTTATAATTAATTTATTTGTGCACATTCTTCTTGTCTTCGTTAAGCGCCGAACAAATGGCGGTGAATTGTTTCTTCTGCCTCTGTTGTTGTTATTTTTGCGCGGAATGTATACGATTTGGTAATATATTTCTGAAGAAGCGACACGAAGTGTGTTATTTTACGGTTGCAGTGTAAAACTGAATTATCATTAAAAATGGTGCCATGCATGAGGCGTTGTAACAATACACCGTCCATACTGTGTGAGCATTGTGCAATGCGCCAGAAGTATTCTGTGGTGTGCGGAGAGAGCACTTTGGTGATGTTTGGGAGTTTGAAAATGAAAACACTTAAACACACACATTTAAAATGGGTTAATGAGCTGTTTGCTCGTGCAAATCCAAGGAAACGTGTCGCTTTTACTTTATTTCAAACGATTATTTCAATCAGTTCGAACGATGTCTTTAATCTTTTCAAATGGTTTTTTTCAATCACCTAAAATGATTTATGATGCGTCGTTTTTTTCATCGATTTAGAAAGCAGGAAACAATCATTGACTCCCAGATTCGATCGGGAAGCGATTCTCAATATTTTTTTTTGCAGAAAATTAACAGAGTCTTTTTTATTCTACACGAATGTCAACCTCAATTATCAAATGCGTGCGAACAAAAACTGAACAGACGTCATCGGTTACAATTCGCTTGAGGCGGTAAAGATCGTATTGCTGAAGTGCGGTTATGAGATAAGTGTCAAAGTACTCGTCATTATGCGGTTTTCTGTGTGTTCACACCATTCAGTCGGCTGTGTTATTATTGATGCTTTTTGAATATTAGGCAATATTCGATTTTGTAATTTGCTTTTATTACTTGAGAAAACAGACAAAAGGATTTGTTTTTCTTGCGGTGAAATCGTTTGAACTGATGAGTTTTTTTTTTCAAGCCTACAGTGAAAATGTTTATCGATTCACCATTTTTTACTAACTGATTTCGTAGTAGGCTTACTTCATTCGGAAATGAAATTGTTTGTTTTTGCCTCTGAAATCAAATCGTCCAAAATGTGAATGAAAATCGACAATCAAAATGTGAATGGAATGAAATGAATGAAAATGCTTCAAAATGAAATAATATAAACGAAACAATATTTTGAAGCTCTTCGAGTGTCTGTTTTCATCATTTTCTTCGTTGAGGAGCGTATGTCAAAGATCGTTGCCTCTAGCTTAACATTCAAAGCTTTAGTAAATTAACGAGAAATAAATTTAAATTAAACGGGAAAAACGCACAAATTCTCACGGGATGAAAAAAAAAATTTGAAAGGAAAGAAAAAAGACAACAAATGCTAAGAGCAGACGGAATAAGAAGAAAAATAACAAAAAATGTGCTTGTTTTCTGGTTTAATTGTGAAAAATGAACCAGGAAATGAAATAAACAGGTCAAACTCGGTGTATAAACGGAACAATATTTCATGCAAAATGTCACATTTGAATTCATTTTGCTGAAATTTCGTATTTGTTCTCATTCTTCAATATATGATCTGATAATGTTGGGAGCTATTTATTTCGATTCTAATGTTTTTTGTATGCAAATTACGATGATCGATGATCATTTGATAATGAAAACCTGAAAAATGATAAAGAAATATATCATGGTATTCATCGGCTCTTTTTGAGACATTTAATCGGATTTGTCACTAGCTTATTAAGAGACGTCTTCATTGTAGCTGCTTCTGAAAAATTATTTATTTACAACAGAAAAATCAAATCATTTTTTAATTCGAATACCAGGTTGAAACTGTAGGAATGTGCCAATTAACTAAAGTGCTCTGAAAACAAAATCAACCGTTTTGCTTTGAAGAGTCTTCTTTTATTTAGAGCATATTTTCCATTACACGACGAGTATTTATGAAGAAAATATGTAAACTCTTGTTACCCAGTCAGTTATCTAAATTTGATCTTCGATTTAATTAAAATAGAATGAATCAAAACGGAGAAATACTCCATGTATTTTGTTGATGATTGAAGCAAATTATATCAATAGCGCCGCTTAACATGATGCGACGTTTGCACGAATCAACATCTCTGTGTACAACGCACACATAGACTCTTCGCATTCACACGAACGTACACACAAAGACTTTACTTTACACAAACGTATAGTTACGGAGATTTGTGGTTGGCGGCGCTCCCAACAAAGTTTCCACAGCAGTTCTAAACGTCAAACATTGTTAAAGCATATGAGATAGCTACTGCTGGAATGAATATTAATATCGAATGAAGGAAAAAATGGAACAGAACCAAAGCAAGAAGAAGAAAAAGAAGAAGAATGAATGGATGAACGAATGAATAATGAACAACGAAGTGAAGTAGATAAAAAATGCTTGAAGCTAAATATTACTTGTTCGAATGATGTGATTTATTTCATAGATAAGAACTTAACGCCAATAAACTTTATGCGGATAACCAGCGCAAAGTTTGTGCCAGATTTATACGTGAAGATCTCGTTTAACATACTCCAAAACACTGTTCAAACTAATTTCATTCAAATATTCTATTCAATAGTTTGAAATGTGACAGAGCAAAGTACACATGATCAAAATCGATCTAATTATTTAGAAAAACAGCGATATTTTCTAATGGAAGTTCACAAATGTATCACCCCGTCGAAAACGTGTGTTGCTGATCCGGTCATATAGAGTGAATGTCCAGAACCTTTCCAACAAATTTTTAGACTGCCGCCCGTTAATTCGACCCGAACCTCTTCGTTCAGTAGCTCCCGTTGAATGCCAATGGCCACTGCAGCACAAGCACCACTGCCACAAGCTTTTGTTTCGCCAACGCCTCGTTCATAAACTCGCAAACGAATATGGCTCCGGTTCACAATCTCCATAAATCCAACATTAGCTTTCTCGGGAAATCGTTCGTGGTTTGTCAATTCTGGTCCAAGTAATGCTACCGATGCATTCTCCACGCTCTCTACTTGTATCACACAATGTGGATTGCCCATTGAGACTACTCCACACAACAGACAATGCTCTGTTGTTTTCAGAATATACTGTTTTTCTGCTTTCTGTGCCTTGAATGGAACACGGGCTGGTTCGAAAATGGGTTTGCCCATGTTAACGACCACTTGCTCATCGTCAGTGATTTCCAACACCATTCGACCATTCGTTGTACTTGCACGAATTTCACGCTTATTGGTTAGTCCTTTATGACGAACAAAGCGAGCAAAGCAACGTGCTCCATTGCCACATTGTGCCACTTCACCACCATCGGCATTAAAAATTCGATAGTGAAAATCCAGATCTCGTGACTGTGGTGATTCCACCAGCAACAGTTGATCGAAACCAATGCCAGTGTAACGATCCGCAAGCTGACGTATCACCTCGGAAGAAAGGTAGATGCTCTGCGATATGGCATCAATTACAATGAAATCATTGCCCAAACCGTGCATTTTCGAGAATTGCATTTTTATTTCGCTTGAAAATAGTAGAAATTCCCGCAACTTGATTTCAATTATAGTTATTTTAACAATTTTGATACTTTTAGCAATCAACTAGAGTTGAAAATGATTCAAAACTTTTGACTCGAAGATTAGGTTTCAATATAAATTAGCCAAGCTCTCAATTAAAACGTACACTAATATTCTGAAACTGAGCAATAGTAGAGCGCCTGTGTCAAACAGCGGACAATTCCATGCGCTGTCAACTTTTCATATTTGTCAATGACATGAAGTTGGCAGCGTATGAATTGACATTCAGAGCTCTACTGTTGTCTGATATGAAAGTCGTCTCAATTTTTTTTTTTATTTAATTGAAAATTTGAGTTATAAAAATGAAAAAAAAAAGAAACAAAATACAAAAGAAAAACCACACCGTGGCAGCATGTACATATACGACAAGCGACATCTTTTCAAATAATAATGAACTCACTCATTCACACACAATCGAGCGGTATGTGTTAAAGCAGTATAATGAGTGAGTTGAATATTACGCGAAGAGATGTCGCCTATGGTATATTGCTCTTTGCTGCCACGGTGTGAGAAAAACATTTTCCAACATTTTTTTGTTCGTTGGAACCAATCAAGTTCCACAAACATTTTTTTTTTTCGGACAAATTTACCGGTGCAGCCTGTTAGTTTGGTTATGTTTAGCGGTATTGAATGGCATCAAATGGCATTGATCGACATTTTACATTGTAATTTAATTGGAGTACAATTAGTATTTTGAAGAATCTAATTTTGGCATAAATGCCTTTTACACGTCATTCTGTCATAATTTAACTGCAATGTAAAATGTCGGAGATTGTCATTCGATTCCATTCAACACCGCTTAACGTAACCAAACTAACAGGCTGCACCGGCCAATTTTCCCGAGAAAAAAAATAGTTTGGATCTCCATGAATGAATCTCTTGCAATTTTTATTATTGTTACAATCGATTTTATTCTCCAAAAATGTTCTGTAGAACTAATCAAGTTCCACAAACATTTTTTCCCGGCAAATTTGTTTGGTGCAGCATGTTAATTTCATATCGAAATTAGAATCATTGATTGTCAAACCGATTGCTGTCAAATGGAATGATTACAACACAAATTTCAAATCCGTATATTGCATCAATGCTTAAAAGTTAGTGATTTGAATGTTTTTTTTCTATTTTCCAAATACAAATTAAAAGTTTACCAACCCAAAAAAATTGGATTAAATAAGATCGAGTATAAAAAAAGCCATTTCAACAATATAAACTAAATTTATTTTTTCTTTTATCATTTTTGGCGGTTTTCAACGAAATTTACCAAAAATCAATATTGATTTTAATTTGTTGTTAATTAAATGTTCTATTTGAATTTATTCATTAATATTTTCTGTAAGTTTCGTTTTGAATAACATTCTGTAAGGCTGAACATCTCAAATGAGTTTGAGAGCGCGAAAATTTGAACTTAAGTTTTGCCGTTAAAGATCGATGGCGCTCTACAATTTTTCACTGCGTGTTTTATATGTAATCAATGTGTCATTATATGAGTGTGAATTAAAATGTATCGGCAAGAGTTGCTAAGTTGATTTTTCACTTTAACTTTGGCACACAATTTGGATTTACTTGTCGTATAAATTAAATCTAGATTTAAATGCGTAACCGATACTTTTCCATAAGAAGAACAGACTCTGTCAAGTACAGTGATTAAATGTTTATCTGTTTCGCATTTTAAAAATCATTCAGTTAAATGTCACGAGTGCAACGACAGATAAAATAAGAATTCGTTATCGGTAATTTTGTCAATGGGTGAAATTTAATCTTGTAATGAGACTAATCATAGCTAGTTCAATACGATTAGTTGTTTACGTCTGACTCAAAAAGATACAAATTCCCTTTGTTTTGTTTTTTATTCAAAGAAATGTATTCTAGCAAATGTAAACGGCAAATATTGGAAGTCGAATTATAACACCGTTTATCATGCGCACACTACACAACAACTGCCGTCGACTATTTAAAGTGATATTCTTTCAAATTGATATCGAAAGTCGATAACTCTAATACAATTTTGATAAAATACTAATAACCAGAATTATGACGATAAGAATTTGCAGTCGTAATTTCTCGTTCTTGTAATTTTGACAATAAAATACAGGAATATTTCGAAAGCCACATTGTGTCAAATAGTAGATGACACTGTATATTGGTGCAAAAGAGGATTATAGTTGTTAAATTTTGTCATCTACAGATGACAAACACATGTGTTTCTTATGGAAATTTAATGTCTCTGCTGAGAGTTGAGCATGAAACATTTTTTTCGTATGATTTGGTTTTTTGTATTGCCTCATCTCATCATTTTTTTCGTATCTTTAACAAACTTTGAAAACCATACGAAAATGCCAATTGAACTGAGTCATGTGACTGTTGTGTGACGCCCGCAGAATGATTACGTGGAAAATGTCAACTTCTTCCAAAGAGAGCAAAAGGTGAGACAGAATGGTTTAGAACTAGCTTAAGGCATTTGAGAAGCCTTTCTAATGCGCAAGTTCATTAACCGATGCTCAGTGTATTTCTTCTTCTTCCATTGTCATTTCTTTTTTTTTCTATTGTTTTCTTTGATTTTCTCCTTTTCTTATCAACTTTTCACTTCATCAAGCACACGTCATTTATGGTGGATGGGTGCAAAAAACGCATTCATCATACTATGCCGCAAGTTATGCGATGAGTTCATCGTTGCATTCAAATGGTTTCGAATTTCGAATGCTTTCGACTTTCACAATTCCATCCATTTTGCAGTGCAGCGAATTTGAAACCATAAAACGGAATAGAGACAATTAATCGAAGCAGTGTTCATCACATGCCAAGAATTTCTTGAGAAAGAAACAACAAGAGTTCGTGTGGTTCAATGGCAAAAGTCGTCTAAATTCCAAGAACATAAATAAACCGTTGATGCTAACATCGTATCGCAAAACTGACACTGGCAATGGAGCACTGCAATCGACATACGATCTCGCATTCGACTGCAGTGCTGAACGCGAGCGTGTGCTCGCAATGAGAATTATGCAATCGCACACCAAAAATGGAATCCATATGAACGAAATTTTCTCACTGCTGCTGCCGTTGCTGCTAACAACACAATGCAAACAGAAAAAAAAATCGCATGTAACCAATAAAAATTTGTGTACATTTAACATTCCGTGATTGTGTGAAGAGCGAGTGAGCGATTTGACATTTTTGGTGCTGGCAAGAATTCGATGCGATCATCCGTAAATCGAAATAGTTCAACACGGTTTTCGCGAGATCTATTTCAAATAATATGGCAAAACGTTCACGTGGAGCTGAAAATGACTTATGCGATGTAATTTCGATAAGTTTGCTGTGTGTGTTGCAACATCTCTGAGTCAATAAACGGTTTCGGTATATCCACATGTGCCTACACTGTGGCGATATCGTCGTGACAAAAACTGTGTCAATTTTATCTGAACTCCGCTTCAATGGCAACGTAGTCAAACATTGATATTGTGGTAATGACAAATTCAAATGGTGTATTCTGTTTACAAAACCACAACCTACATTCAGTTGCAAATGACACGGGTTTTTATCGGAGGTTTTCTTTGGGACCATTGAATAGGTAGGAAGTTTCGAAAATTGATAAAACGATATCGACCATTCAGAATGATTAATGGATACATTTTTTGGTCCACATTAGGCGACATTGGATGTGACAAATGAACACAGTGAAACGAGCACAAAGTGCATTCTCGAAGGTGATTCAAGTGAGATTTGCTACTAAATTTTGGCAATTTGTTTATGATTCGAGGGATATCTTCCATTTTGATCAAATGAACATTTCGATTTTTCTGCCTTTTTATTAATCAAAGATTGAAAAACCTCCAATTTTTCGCTGTCATCATTTTCTCCTTTGAAGGGATGAAAAAACCGGAGATAAAACGCGACGGAAAATCGAGATAAAACCAAAAAAAAAGTTAAAGAGAAATAAGAAATACATAGGCAAAACCCTTTCACGAATTCAAAGTTCATCAAAAAACAAAATCAATTTATCAAATTTTGTTTAATCATCCTCCAAATCCAATGGCAGCACCGAACAATTTTCCAATAGCAATGATCGGGCTCAATCAACCCAATTGATTAAACATTTCAATTAAAAATTTCGCACGTTTTGTATTAGGCTTCGGCAATGTGAGTGCTCAACTGCTCATGCGCATTTGCGCTGCATAATTTCTGGCTGACACACATTCGTCTGTCTGCTTCTCGCGAGATTTGGGTTCGTGCACGAGTTTGTTTGGCATATTATATCATTTCACTTGTCGTTGTTTTTTATTTCGTTTTGAAAATCCGTTTCGCTAATTGAAATCGCGCACACGCGTGTGTAACAATGGATTTGTAGCCGGGGCGCAACAATGGACTCATTCAGTTACAGTAAATAAAACATATCGCGGTTCGGAAATTATTTTCTGTGGGAGCGAGAGACAAGTGCAAAGTTGAAATAGCAAATGCCCAAATCTGTCTGGGGCCGAGCAATTAAATTATGCGCTCGTTTGTGCTCGCACAACGGTTCAAAATTCGAAACAATTTTGGCTGCGTCACACTTAGCAATTTTTTCATTCGTTGCATTTCGAACATACCGGCGGCGGAAACATTGTGCAAACGTAGAAAAATGAAATGAAAAGAGAGCGAATAAAACAAATCGACCCATTCTGAAATCGCGGTTCATTCCAACGCGCACATTTCGTGTGAATATTATGACGTTGCAAGCGTTTTGCTTCCATTATTACCGTTTTTATTGCCGCTGTGTGAGACTGGTCGAATGGAGTGTGCGATTCCAACACATCAGACAACGAACATGCACCCAAATTACCACTAAATACCGCCACCGATGTTATAATCCATTTCAGCTTTTGTCTTTTGTCGAGCGTGCAACATTTCAGAACCGAATCTCACTTGCGCGAGTGCAACAAGTGCGAAATGTTTTGTTTTCTGATGAATAAATTTTGAAACGCATAATTGGTCGTAACGATTTCCTCGTTAAAAAAAAAGCGCGAAAATTTCGAAGCAAATGTGGTCGGTTTTTCTGGATTGACGAACAAAGTTCACGTGAGCTTTGAACGATTTCTTTAGTTAGAGTTAATGGAATTTTGCTATTTTTGTTGGAGATTTTTTTTCGTCTTTGAAACGATGACTTTTCATGTTCTGAATATGATTTTTCATATGAAAATCACTTTTTCTGCGCTCGAGAGTAGAACATGCTCAACTGTTCTGCAGATCGTTAGGTTTTGAAGTGAAGGCTGAAACTATTTTCATTTCACGAAAAAAATTAATGCGATATTTCTATTTGTTAAGTAATAAATAACGAAATTTTTCTGCCCAAAAAGTGTTTTTCTTCTGATTTAAACGGAACATTTTTCATTTTTAACTGGAAACATTGAAATATCTATCTTTTGAATAGAAAATATATTCGTCCAAAAATCGTATGCTTTAACTGTACATTTCTCTTTGATAATAAGGCAAATAAAATCATCCAAACCAACAATCTGTTTCGCCATTCGACTCAATTTATCAAATGTGATTAAGAAATCGGCTTGAAACCACGAAAAATCTGAAAAATTCCATTCAAAATACATTCGATGAAAATATCCGGCGATTCATTCAAATGAAGCTCATTTCCTTTGCAGCGTCACTCAATGAAAAAACGAAGAAAACCAAAAACACACGAAAATGCACTGTCGACATAGTAAATTTGCGTCGATATTGCAATAAAATCGTGTCCTCAAGTGGCAAAGTGTGCTGAATTTCATACCGACTCGCCTGGTGTGGAATGTCAAAAATTCCGTTGTTCCAAAGAAGAAGCAAAGCGCTTCGCTCGAACAAGTGATGAGTATTTGGTAACTCGGCTCATCACATGATCAACAATTCTCGGCTATTTAAAATGTGTGAAATGGCGAACATAACATTGGCTGCGCTGTGATAAATGGCTGCGAAGCACAAAACAATGGATCGCGAATACGGTGGGCAGAAAACGGTATACAATTCAATTAAATCGAAATATTGAAACATTATTGTTATTGCTGTGTGATGCGCTTAAACGGCATCATCATTTCGATGGAAAAAAAATCTTCGCTGAAAGTTCCATAAACGGATTTGCGTGCCCGATGTTCGCTCGTTCGCTCCCACTCTCTGGCTTGAGCGTTCCGCAGCACGGAAACTTTTTCGGCAAACAGTCGTTGGTATTGCACTTTTGCACCATTGTTTTACGGTTGTCCGCGCGCGTATGCGCTCACTCATTCGCTATTCTTTCGTCGTCTTTCGCTATTTTGACTATTTTTTGCCTCGTTTTGCGCATTTATTTCGTTCGCGTCTGGGCGCTTTGCGGTCGATCGCATCCGTTGTTTGTTTACTTTGTGCGAACCGAGAGGTGTGTGTGTGTGTGTGTGTGTTGAATGCTGGGCCCTAGCACAACCGCTGAAATGATCATCAGTTTTTCGTAGATCTTCGATCTGATCAAACGTGCAATTTACACTCCGTGCTCGGTTCAGATTGATCCAAGTGAGTTTCGCGTACCGTGTGTTCTCGCTCTTAATTTCTCAACATTCGTGAATTGTGCATGTGTGAGTGAGTGTGTGTAAAAAATTTGCCCAATTTTGAACGCGCGTTCTAATTTTCCCTTGCAACAGAGTGAAACACTAACTTTTTCTATTTCGCAAAGTGTGGTAAAGTGAAAACTATTTGACGCAAAACAAAGCGTCTCTTTTTCCAGAAATTTACTTTTCAGAAACGGTTTCAACATTTTCAAGTGTTCTTGTCGCCGCCACGACGATGAAATTGATCACCTTTTTGAGTTATTTTTTTTTTTCTTTTCACCTTCGTTCGGGTGATCTTTTTCTGTTTGGCAATGGATCTTGATGGTTTTTACAATGAAAATCTCCGTCGGAGATCTAAAGAAAGTTACATAAGACAATGGAGTGATTTGATACTCTAGACAGATTTACTCGCTATTTACCGTCTTCATAGACTTTTTTTTTAAACGAAGTCAAAACTGACTGAACTCGTTTCATAACAACACATTTGCTTTATGCAAACAGGAATTCTTTTGAATATTGCGTTTCGGATTTTTTTTCCTTCAAACAAAATAACGTGCAATATAAATCGACAAAGATGTGTTTGTTGCAAGTTCTTACATTTGATCTTTTTAGTCAAATTGATAATTTTCGATTATTATTTCAAAAAAATATCTTCTTTTTTTTTGGTTAAATTGCTGATTTTTAGAAGAAACTTTTCCGATATTGATGTTTCTGCATTTTTCATACACTTTTTGAAGATCACAATATTTTTCATTGTTGGACAATTTTGTCTCGGTAAAGTTTTGTTTTTGAATTCAAAAAAATTAATGCTCGAAGATGAAATTTACCGTTTTTTTTCTATCTTAAAGTTGCAAAATTTGCAAAGTTTTGGATTAAAACCAATTTGATTGAAAACTTAAAAATAAAAAAATCGACTCGCCCATCAATATTCTATGAGTGTTCGCAAAAAGGGATTTTCCGGATCGAAGAATCGCAAAAAGTGAAGTTTTAAATACATGTCTTGCCTTCAGAAAGGTCGATAGAATTTGATATAAATTGAAAATATCACTTTTATTCGAAGAATTTTCTTTATTGAAGAAAAAATATTCAAATTAAAAATCACGAAAATTGGTTGAAAGTCTTCAATTTGAAAAAAAAAAATCGTTGAAACGAACTAAAGGAAATTGGAGAAAAATCGTGATTTGGTTGCATTAAGAAAATTCATTTGATTTCATTCAAAGTCTGAAAGCTGGTCATTTTAGCAGCGAATTCATTTGCGTGGTAATTTCTCAATTAATGCGCGTTCATTTGACCGTTTCAAGAGTGTCTGTGTCAAAACGTCGTTTCTCACCGTTATAACTCACCCACATAAAACGTTTAGCAAATCCCCATCATAAATCAGCGTGCAATGCATTTTTCGTTCAATTTTTATGATCCTGTTAACATTTGCGACCTTTAATTTAATGTAATCGGTTCAGCAGAGGTTCTGTTTGAAGAAGAAGCCGCTTGGTTTGTCTATGCAACAGCGAAAAAAAGGCGAGTTGAAATATGTGTTACTTCACACCTTTTGTGTTTTACACAATGTGCAATAAAAGTCTAAGAATAGTAATTATTAGTATTCTTCGCCATTTATCCAATTTTATGCTTAGCTCAAGCGTTAAAACGCGATTTATAAATGAATGAATAAAATCAATAATGCTTTGAAAACAAAATAAAAAACGGGATCTAATCGTTGGCGCTAATTAAAAGGTGAAACCGATAAAATCGTTGAAAGAATGTTCAATTAATCAAATAAAAGCGAAAAAAAAATTGAAATTTTCTAAAAGGTTGCATTTCCTTTGATCGAAAGTGTGTTTAATCAACGATGTATATCGCTTGGCAATTAATGTATAGTAAAGAGCAATCAATGCTAAAGTGTTGAATCTGCTGATGATTTGGCGTATTTCTTCTGTGCAGAACCTGGACTCTGTGCAATTGCGATTGTTCCGTGGCATTTTAGCATCGTCTTGAAAGTGATTTCGGTTTTAAATTACAATGAAGCCAAAGCGATTAAAACAGCAGAAACTCTCGTCACATCTGTTTATTTTTTCTTAACTCGTTGCCTTTGACTTTTTCACACATTGCGCGCTCCATCAATTTTACCATTTACGGTGTCGTCGACGTCACCGTCGTTGAGAATGTGCGCATTCTTGTGGCATATGCCATTCGAGTGCATTGTTCGACCCGGGCAAAATTTAATGAAATCGGTTCAAGTAATGCGAAACGAACGCTGCCTGTACTAAGAGTTGAACGAAAAGAAAAATTCGCGCTGATTCATGAGTATTGCGTGTCGAATGCGAATTCCGTCTACCAAATTGCCACATTAAATCAAATAACGTTACCTTCAATGGCATAGCTGTACTGCTGAACGGATGACAGATAACGATGGCCATCGTCACTGCATGCTATCCCGAATCCAGACTGCGGGTGTCTCAATCCATGCAAGACCCACTTAAAACGTTTTATGAGCGCCATACCGCGGTGACACAAAGCCAACCGACCGACCGACCGATCGAAATTAAATCTGATTAACGTATTATTTTCAATAAATGCATACATGACGAGACAGTCACATGACACAGTCCTCCGCACAATTGTTCAACGATGAAAAAAATCGCAGAAAACTTCTGAACCAGTATTTTCCTTTGTGATATACCATTGTATATGAATGGATTTCTTTGTCCGTCGATGAGGTTTAAATGAACAAACACAAAAGCCATTTGGTATGATAATTTTTTCAGCGTCTTTTTCACTTCTCTCTTTCGCTGTGTACAGCTCGTAAATTACGCTTAGGATAGGTTAGTTATATCGCTGTTCACACGACTCTTGTTTACTCAAATGAAACTGAGATTCGAACGTATTCTGGACTATTTCGGCCGGAATTTAATGGGCCTTGTACGATTTTTGTTCGTAAACAAACTAAATTGCCATTCTAGACTGTAGATGACTCAAAACGATGGAATTCGGTGTTTGAACTAATTGCATGTTCAAGTGGGACATGACAGTTTTCATTAAATTTCTGTGTGAATGCGTGAATGGCTTGACGGTCATTAATTAATTCCGATCAAAATATCAATTATTTTCATGAATTCTGTGGATAGTTTCGATTTTTCTACTTTTCTCTTTTCCTGGCGAGTTTTCAGCGGTTTTTTTTTCTTCGTACAAACGATGCAGAAAGAAGAAAGATTTTTCTTTGAAATTTTAGAGATCATTCTGAACAGTCTTCAGATTCTGAACACTGTTTTCATCCAAATTGTTATTTTTCAATCAATTTATGCATTGAATCCGGCGAGCTATCGGATGTTTTGATAAAAATCGATCATATTTCCCATCTACTTAATTTACGTAAGTGAATGAACTTTCCAAACTTTATGATGTGCATCATTTAATTCTTTTTTTTTTTACATTTCTCATTCACTTTTGAAGTTTTTTTTATTAACTTTTTACGTAAAATATTCTTCTTCGTCTCGGAACGAGACACTCGCTTGCCAAAATTTCATAGTTTGGTTGATTTTATCCCGCTTCTTGCATAAAATTAATTTATGCATGCAAAATGACTTTTATTTCTATTATGGTGAATGAAATCAGTTACATTTGGACTTCAGCTTGATCAAGTCATTTGCGTCGAAGTTTTTTCGTCTATATTTTTGACTATCGCTTTTGTTTCATAAGCGCCAGATTGCTGATCGAGTTTCATTTTTTTTTTGCTTTTTTGATAGTCAACTAGACGATATTTGTTTGGAATATATATGTAAAAATGTCGACTTTGTTTTTATCTAATACTTCGTTCAAACTGCTGACGTTGTTTTAGTTTTTTTGCTAAATTCAGCATATCTTTTTACTTTGATATGTGCGCCGAAGTCAATTTCCCTTTTACATCGATTTAAAGGAGTTTCATAAATTAAGTGAAGAATTTTGCATTTCCCATAGAGATATAATACAAACATACAATAATTGCCATAAACACCAAACTCCGTTCATTTGTTTCATTCAGAACATGGGTTTTTGCGACTATTTTTAATGCGCTCGATGACATTTCGGGTGCGCGAGATTTGAAGATCGATTGATGAAATCTTGTTTTAAGGCGTGACAAATGATATAAATCGACTTTTAAATTCTTAAAGCATTCGAGTCGCCACGAAATGACTCGTCGCAAACACGACTGGAGATTGGCGGTAATAAACTCATATCGAATTGGAATTACTAATTCGATTATTGTTACTCTTCAGTCTAAAATGTTTAGAAGTGAAGAGTGAATTTTCACTATCCAATGGATAGTATCCATAGAAAAGACGTTCTGAAAAAGAATGCCCTTTAAAAATGTTCAAAAATCGATCTTTAAATTTTAAACTCTTTTCAAGAGAAAAAAACACTCACTTTTAGCAAGCTTATTTAAATGGAAAAAACCCAAAAGCAAAGAGCTATTTCTGTCTGAGCAGCTGTTACCGCGCTCATCTAAAACCGTTGGAAGCAACCGGCTCCAGAAGGCAATGAAACTTTCAACTTTTTACACACTCTGATGACTTTGGCCATTTCCGTCTATTTTACGCTTTTTAATTGCTTGTATCAATTGTTTTATGTTTTTTTAAATTGCGAATTTTACCGCTTAATTTCAAGACGAGAAGTTCACTTTGAGATGTCTCCCACAGCCAGAGAGAAAGGTGATTTAATAATGTGTAGTGAATCTCATTGCGCAACAAGAATTTCCGGAATAAGAGACTGTTTTCATCGCTTCATTGGACGTTTTCCAGTTTTCAGCAAAGAGAAGATTTCAACTTCCGAATTGAACCTTCGAAAAACAATGTCGATCAATTCTTCGGTCAGTTTTTTCTTTCTCAAAATAGAAATCGAAACAAGAACTTAAAAAAAATAACGAGAAATTTGGTGTTTTTTCCACTCTTCTTTTAAATTAGAGAATTGAAACCATTAAAATATGAAGAATATAACAAAAAAAGCAGCAATGATAATGATTAGTATCAGATTATACAATCTTCTTAAATAATAAAAATGTATCAAAAAAAGGAAACAACAGTAAAAATTAGAACAGAACGAAAGAAGATAAAAAACTAACCAATAAAAAAAACTAGTCAATAAAACAGAAAAATGACAAA